GCATCTACTCGCATGGACCTGTCCGCCGTGAATGTCTAGGCGCAAGAGCTTTCGAATATTAACGGGCTTCAGTTGTGACGGTTTGGACATCAATCTAACTGCGAATGAATTGGAGTGTGAATGAGCCTCAGTAGTACGAGCGCGTCTCTGTGCATGAGCCTGGGGCCTCCTGGGGCCTCCTGAAACCTACTGGGGCTTCCTGGGGTCTCCAGGAGCCTCTTGGGACCTCCTGGGACCTCCTAGGAAGGTTTCGTGCCCCAGGAGAGGCGCAATCTATAGCAACAGACGTACATAAAACATTGCGGATTAGAGCCACAGGAGAAGGGCAATCTATAGGAACACGCGTAAAACACCAAGGACTCGTGCCCCAGGAGAGGCCCAATATATAGGAACATGAGTAAAACATTTAGGATTGTGTACACAGGAGAAGGACCATCTATAGAAACATACGTAGAACATCAAAGAATCGTGCTCCAGGTGAGGCCCAATCGATAGGAGCATACGTAAAACACATGGGATTGGAGCCACTCCTGTTGCCTTCTGAGGCCTCCTGCTCCTGGGGCCTCTCGGGGCCTCCTGTTGCCTTCCGAGGCCTCCTGGCGCTTCCTGTTGCCTCCTGGGGCCTCCTGTGGTTTCCTGAGGCCTTCTGGAGCTTCCTGGGGCCTCCTGGAGCCTCTTGGGACATCCTGTGGCCTCTTGAGTCTTTCTGTGGCCTCCTGATGCCTCCTGGGACCTCATGTGGTCTCCTGGGGCCTCCTGGAGCCTGTTGGAGCCTCCTGTGGCATCCTGAGAAGAATCTGCGCCCACGAGCCTGGCCACCAAAACAAGCAAACCGATTGAGACATCCTCAAAATCTGGCCCACCTGGGGGGTGAAAATGAGCGCCTCGCTCGAGACATCCTCCAAATCTGCTCCGAAAGCGAAGGATGTTGGGCCCAGAAACAAGCAAACCGCCTGAGACATCCCCACAACATGGCCGCGAACGAGCCCGTGCAAACACCCCTGGCGGCTCCCCTTAGGGCCACGAGCCTGGCCACCAAAATTACTCCGACGGAAGAACCCCACATAAGAATCCTCTGGGCGAATCTGGAAAAAACCATCACCGTCGTCCTCGTGGTTGGTGAGGCGTCCTGGCTGTCTCTTCTGCGTATATTTCCTGTCGCCTTGGCGCGGGCCCCCCTTCCACTCCTTACGTTGTCCCCATCCTCGCCCCCCTGTTTGTTCCGCGCCCCGCCACCTCCTCCCCTTCCTGTTGCATGAGCGCGCATGTCGATGTTCCTCGGCGCCGTCGCCGCCACGGCCAGCACAGGCGCGTTCTCTACTGGTCACGTCGCGCAGCCGTTGGGACAACCCCGCGGGCCAGGCTGTCGGGACAACCCCGCGAGCCGTTGGCGCGCAAGACCAAGCCGTTGGGACAACCCCGCGGGCTTCGAGCGAGGCGCAGCCGCGCTCAGGCGGAAGGCAGCACGAAGCCCAGCTCTGCCGCGAGCTGCTTCGCCTCCGCCCTGGACAAAACCGCCTGAGACTTCCTCCATATTCAGGCTTGAGGAGCCCAAAAGTGACGACAGTTACAGGGTTCCGATGACCCGCTCGGATTACCAACATGATCTGCGGGCCCCATAGGGAGGGGGCTCCCGCCTGAGACTTCCTCACAATTCACTCACAGACGAGGCTCCCGCCTGAGACTTCCTCCAAATTCAGGCTTGACGAGCCCAAAAGTGACGACAGTTACAAGGTTCCGATGACCCGCTCGGATTACCAACATGATCTGCGGGCCCCATAGGGAGGGGGCTCCCGCCTGAGCCTTCCTCAGAATTCACTCACAGACGAGGCTCCCGCCTGAGACTCCTCCATTCAGGCTTGAGGAGCCCAAAAGTGACAGACAGGCATGACCCGCTCGGATTACCAACATGATCTGCGGGCCCCATAGGGAGGGAGCTCCCGCCTGAGACTTCCTCCCAATTCACTCACAGACGAGGCTCCCGCCTGAGACTTCCTCCATTTTCAGGCTTGAGGAGCCCAAAAGTGACGACAGTTACAGGTTTCCGATGACCCGCTCGGATTACCAACATGATCTGCGGGCCCCATAGGGAGGGGGCTCCCGCCTGAGACTTCCTCACAATTTACTCACAGACGAGGCTCCCGCCTGAGACTTCCTCCAAATTCAGGCTTGAGGAGCCCAAAAGTGACGACAGTTACAGGTTTCCGATGACCCGCTCGGATTACCAACATGATCTGCGGGCCCCATAGGGAGGGAGCTCCCGCCTGAGCCTTTCCTCCCAATTCACTCACAGACGAGGCTCCCGCCTGAGACTTCCTCCATTTTCAGGCTTGACGAGCCCAAAAGTGACGACAGTTACAGGTTTCCGATGACCCGCTCGGATTACCAACATGATCTGCGGGCCCCATAGGGAGGGGGCTCCCGCCTGGGACTTCCTCACAATTTACTCAACGATGATGAGGATGAGGATGATGAGTGGTGGTGAAGATGAGTGGTGAAGAGGATGATGATTGATTGTGAGTGGTGGTGGCGATGATGATGTTTGAATGAGGATGATGCCGATGCCGACGATGATGATGATGATGTTCATGAGCGTGTGAGAGAGTGCGAGTGATGATGATGATGAGTATGTGAGTGACTAAGCATGTGAGAGAGCATCATCGATGATGCTGATGAGGTTGATGATGAGAGAGTGTGAGTGAGTGTGAGTGGGTGTGTGTGTGTGTGTTCCTGTTCCTGCGCGGGGTGTCCAGAGAAAACAAGAACCCCACTTTGGATGTGGGGAACAAGCAAACCGATCGAGACATCCTCAAAATCTGGCCCACCTGGGGGGTGAAACTGAGCGCCTCGCTCGAGACATCCTCCAAATCTGCTCCGGAAGCGAAGGATGTTGGGCCCAGAAAGAAGCAAACCGCCTGAGACATCCCCACAAAATGGCCGCGAACGAGCCCGTGCAAACACCCCTGGCGGCTCCCCTTAGGGGTGCTGAGTATGAGTAAGTCTGTGTATGAGTAAGTCTGTGTATGAGTAAGTCTGGGTATGAGTAGGTCTGTGTATGAGAAAGTCTGTGTATGTGTACGTCTGGGTATGAGTAAGTCTGAGTATGACTAATACTGTGTATGAGTAAGTCTGGGTATGAGTGAGTCTGTGTATGAGTACGTCTGGGTGTGAGTAAGTCTGTGTATGAGTAAGTCTGTGTATGAGTATGTCTGAGTATGAGTAAGTCTGAGTATGAGTAAGTCTGAGTATGAGTAAGTCTGAGTATGAGCAAGTCTGAGTATGAGTAGGTCTGAGTATGAGGAAAGAGGAGGAGGGGAGGAGGAAAGAGGAGGAGGGAGAGGGAGTAGGAGGCGTCCAAGTAATAACAAGAACCCCATCTTAGGATATGGGGAAATAGTCTGGAGACGTTTTTTTCTTTACTCTTTACCATATTGTTGTTTGAGTTTTTTTTTGTTTTTGTTGTTGTCTGTCTTTCCACTCGAATCCGCTTGTAGGAGGACATGCCCGACCTAACCGTAACGTCGTCCATCCAATCTCCCAGCCTTCTTTTCCGCCTCGAACTCCGCCAAGGTCCTCCGACCTCCGACGGCCCGTCTTTTTTCGAGCCTTGGGCCCCCTGGACCTCTTCACCCTTCCCTTAAGTCGGGCGTGTCCCTCTACAGGAGGAATATGCAACAATTGGTAAACAAGTATTCTGGGGACGACTTTTTTCGAGTGCGCTCTGGCTATTTTTCATAGTATTGTTTGGACTGATTCTCAATTTTTCGTCCAAAGCCCGCCTGTAAGAGGACATGCCCGACCTCACACTTCCCCCAGGCCGGTTTCTCGCCTCGAGTCACACGGTCCCACGTCCCGAAGCGGACCTTTGGAGGCGGGGAATAGCAGAACGATATTCCGAGTTGTGCAACATGGAGGGGAGAAGCACGGAGACCATGACCAAGATGTCGCGGCATCTGGTCGATGCCGGTTTTGGTCATGGTCCATGTCGGCCGTCGCCGATTCGCGAGGATGATCCACGAATGGGCGCTGACGAAGATCGCCGGTTACCAAGATCGACGCGACGTTTCCGCGTTCAGTCTTGGTTTAAGCCGGGGGTGTTCCTCTACAGAAGGAATAGGCAAAAGTAGAAAAACATACTCTGGGGACGATTCTTCGAGTACTTTTTGACTATTTTGGAATATTTTTAGACTATTTTTTAAGATTTGTTTCCTCCCGAATCCGCCTGTAGGAGGACATGCCCGACCTAAGTCTTGGTCATGATCCCCGCCTCTTTCGCCGGGCGTGGTGTGTGTGTGTGTGTGTGGATCGCTCGAGTCCAGGCCTTCTAGGTGGGGTCGGAGCAGATGGGGTCAGAGGACTGCGCCGCATCGCCGATGCATCGACGATGTGGCTCGATGCGCGCGTCCTCCTCGTCCTTCTCGTCTTCCTCGTCCTCCTGATCGTCCTCGTCCTCCTCCCCCTCCTCCCCCCCCTCCTACCCCTCCTCCTCCTCCTCCTCCTCCTCCTCCTCCTCCTCCTCCTCCTCCTCCTCCTCCCCTCCTCCTCCTCCTCCTCCTCCTCCCCTCCCCCTCCCTCCTCCTCGTCTTCTTCCTTCTCCTCTCCTCCTCCTCCTCCCCCTCCTCCTCCCCCTTCCCCTCCTCCTTTCCTCCTCCTCCTCCTCCTCCTCCTCCCTCCTCCTCCTCCTCCTCCTCCTCCTCCCACACTCCGACGGCGCCGATGCATCGCCGATACATCGGGGATGCATCGGCGATGCACCGGCGATGCACTGGCGATGCGGTGCGATCCTCCGACCCCATCCACTCGGACACCATCTAGGCGGCCTGTATCGAGGGGTCGGAGCGGGCCGTCGGGCGGAGTAGCATGGGGGGGTGCTAACCGAACATCTCGGAGCAAACAGACTCGACAGCGTGGAGTCCCTGGAGGTCTGGGGGCTCCGCCGACGTCAGCTCCACGCTGCCCCTCGGCCCCCCCCGCGGCCTCTCGGCCTCGCCTCCCCGCAGGACGCGGTGGAGCTGGCGCGACCGGCGCCGAGCCCCCCCGCCGCCGCCGCTTCTCTCGTGGGCTGGCCTCCTCCTCCTCCTTCTCCTCCTCCTCCTCCTCCTCTTCCTCCTCCTCGTTGCTTGATTGCCCGTCCACGGGAGAGGCGGATCCCGAGGAGTGCGCAGCACGATGCACATGGAGACTGACCGAGGGAGGAAGAGAGACTACGCTCCCGCCGCCCTCTCCAGGGAAGACGCACAGGCGAGCGCGAGGCCCTCCAGGAGCGGCCCAGGCACGGGTGCGAGGTCCTCGTCACCAGGCGGCCGTGGCAGCGGCGCATCCTGGCGGAGCCTCGTAGACGCCGTAGCTTATCTACCCTGATACGCCCATGTTGAAACGCAGCACGTACCGTGTTCAAACGTCCGTGTTAGCACGCTGCGTGTTGACTCGGCACGTGATGGTCCACGTTTCGGCGAACGCATCGCGCCAAACCTGCGTTTTCAGTCTGCGTGTTGAGCCCCGTGTCAACACGCTGCGTGTTGCGCGTGGCGCATCGGGGCAGCTGAGCGCCGCAGCCGTCGGTGAGGCTGAGGCACTGCGTCGCGTCCTGGTCCACGGGCTGCATCTCCCCACCAGTGTGGTCGGCGCCACCCCAGTTTACTTCTACTATATGTGCGTCGCCCCCCAGGGGCGATGCGCACACCGAGAAATCTGATAGTGTATGCGTTGTGGCGGACGCTTTCTGGCCACACCGCTCGGGAAACGATACACTACAAGATGGGTATACTATTTTTGGTCGGGTCGGACGCGCGCCTCCAAGGAGGACACACAGTATTAGTGTGCCTCTGTGCGTCCCATGTGGTGCAGACTGTGCCTCGGCTGGGCCTCGTGCGGCGCGGCGGCCACGGGGACTCCCAGGGCAGGCGCACAGCCGCAGCACTCCGGTGGCCGCGGGGGTGCGGGCACCACCCCCCGTCGCTGCGGCACCTCGTCCTGTCCGAGGCGAAAGAGGGCAGCGAGTGGCCACAGCTCTGGGCGGGGACTGGCGCCGAGGAGCCGAGGGAGCGCAGCGCCGCGGAAGGCGAGGATCGGACGCGGCAGGCAGACGGGGACAAGTGCTCCACGAGCGGCAGTCTTCAGGGCAGTGCAGCACCTCTCCTTCCGAGACATCTGGGGCACGTGCAGCAGGATGCCGCAGGCATCACGTGCGCAGGCCGCAGCCCGCAGCACCCAGGAAGCGCGCAGCGTAGGGTTCTCGTGGGCCACTGTTCGAGCATCCTGGAGCTCCATCCTCGCAGCTCCCCACGCGCACGCCTCTGATCGAAGTGCAGGAGCATTTGAGTCTGGCAACGGGCCAATCCACGAGAAACGATTGGGCACACAAACGACACTGACGATTCGACCAGCGAGCGCCTGCTGTGCCCTCCCTCTCAACCCTGATGGGTCCGGAAGTTCACTGGCCATACTCTCAACAGACAATACAGATGCAGAAGAATAACCCCAGGGCCCTCCAATACCTTGACATACCGGCAACCATGCCGCCGTCCGTCCTACCCACCATTGAGACAAACACCACGTATACAATGTTAGCCTGTGGTGTGTGCAAAATGGGCACCACCAAAATTCGTGATATTATCGTTGCGGCACCTGTTGTAGTACCATCCACTCGAGACGCAGAAGGAGCAGGGCGCAAGTCATCACCACGAGGGTGCCGAAGAGCATTGCAAGGGATAGCAGCATCAAGGGCTGCATCATTACGGTAACCTTCAGCAGCTCGAGCCCTGCCCAGCTCGAAGTCTTGCTCCCCCACATCCTTGGCCTCGTATTCGGGCAAAGGCGAGGCAGCGTCGAGCAGGACGTGTACGCAGCCAGACCCTGGAAGTTGAAAACGCTAGATGAGACCTGGGCGAACATGATACTCAGTGCCGCATGCTTTGCACTGGCTGCCTCTAGCGTGCAGCTGAGCAAGATGGAGGGGTTGGTGGGCCCTCTGCCAGTGTCCGCGAAAGCCGGCCATCGTGACTGAGGGCTTGCCACACTCGTAGCACTCAGAGGTCCGAACGTCGTCCTCCTGCAGAGGGCCACGCAGACTTCCCGAGCCGTAATTAATCGTCGAGTCCCAGGAAAATATGGGAAAATATGGGAATTGGGCGGGAAGACAAAAACCCAGCAAATACATCATCAGGCCCAGCGTCGGCCCCCCCCCTGGTGGCGAGCGTCCTGATCCAGCCCAGGTCCTCTCTCTTACAGGCCCCGTCCAGGCACCAGGGATGCCGACGGTGAGGTCCAGCAGCCTCTTCAGCGTGGGGTGGGGAGGGGCACGGACCATGAGCCTGGCAAAGTGTTTCAAAGCTGCGATAGCAGAGCACCTCAGGGAAGCCAACGCGTGACACTTCCCAAAGAATTGGGTCACCGGTTTTCCTGGCAGTAGTGGCAGCAGAGCGCAGAGCGCAGAGGGGCTTGAAATAAAAGGTGAGTGCTGGCTAGTACACCTACGAACTTGACCTTCTGATTTACTTGAACGTGATGACGCAGGACGGCACTACGGAGGGGACGTAGTACTGCATCTGCATGTTTGCACTTTCGCATGGCAATCTCCGGACCTTCCACCCCTGAGCAGGTAAAGACCGCACCAGCAGGCTTAAATTGGTTTTCAAGGGCGATGCGATCGCCACCACCAGAATCCAACTCGATAGCCGCGACATTGACAAGCTTCCTCCGAATCTGGGCCGCACCAGGACCAAAGAGGCAACACATGACACCATCCTTACCACGAGCAAAATTGAGCTTGAAGCCTGAACAGAACGTGTGCTTTCGAATTGCCCAGCCGGCCTGCGCCGCGTGGAAGAAGGCGTTCAAATCGCGGCATGGCGTGCACACACCTAGACCTGAATCGTCGACGAAGTTCGTGTCGGCGAAAGCTGTCGGGGGGTTGCGCAAGCCCTGACTGAAAACATTGGCACCGTCCTCCTCCTCCTCCTCCTCTCCCTCCTCATTATTCCTCCTCTTCTCTTCCTCCTCATTCCTCTTCTCCTCCGTCCTCACTCTTCTCATCCTCTCTTCTCCTCCCGTTTTCCCTCCTATCCTCCACCCTCCTCTTCCTCACTTCTCCGTCTTCTCCCTGGTTCTCCTTCCTCCCTCTGCTATTCTCTTCTCGTCCTGTTTTGCCCCTTCTCCTCCACCCTCCACCCTTCTCCTTCTCCTCCCTTCCCCTCTTTCTCCTCCCTCTCCTCCTCATCATCCTCTTCCTCCTGTTTTTCTCAGCGGCTGTTTGTGCGGCCATCCCAGCGAAGGCGGAAGACCGAAGCGGCCGACTCCTCCTTGTCCCTCCTCCTGCAGGCGTGTTGCGCAGACCACGTGCGCGACTCGTGAAGACACTGCTCGGGCTTGGCTCGGCTGGCCTCCAGGGGAGGGGGAAGTCTCACGCATCGTCAGGTTCGAGGCATCGTAGCAAAGCTTGCAGCGGCCAATTCTCCCACGATGCGGGCATAAGGAGGTCGTCTCTCGGGCATGCGGGATCGTGGAAAAGACGGCACGGGGTGCGGAGCCTGCCTCGAGGAATGGGTCGAGGTCCCCGTGCTTCACCTCAGCGACACCGGAGGATCGGAGGCTAGGGGGTGAGATCGCAGTGGAACGGAGACCCCCAAACGGGAAATCGTTTCGTCTCGTTCGTGTCGTGCGCGCGGGCGAGGCGAAGCTGCGTGGGCGCGCGGGAGGAATGAACCCGTCGTTGCTGGGGCGAAGTCAATACAAATGATTCTCCCCCGCCCGCCCGCCCGTTTGGCGGTGGCTCGCGGTGTCCCGCGGTGTCCCGTGGTGTCCCGTGGTGTCCCGTGGTGTCCGCCGTTGCTAGGACGAAGTCAAAACAAATGATTCTCCCCCGCCCGCCCGTCCGTCCGTCCGTCCGTCCGTCCGTCCGTCCGTCTGGCGGTGTCCCGCGGTGTCCCGCGGTGTCCGGTGGTGTCCCGTGGTGTCCCGTGGTGTCCCGTGGTGTCCCGTTGAGTGAGATCGATAGTGAGATCGATAGTGAGATCGACAGTGAGATCGATAGTGAGATCGATAGTGAGATCGATAGTGAGATCGATGTGGTGCCCAGAGGTGTCCCGTGGTGTCCCGTGGTGTCCCAAAAAGTGAGATCGATAGTGAGATCGATAGGTGTCCCGTAGTGTCCCGTGGTGTCCCGTGGTGTCCCATGGTGTCCCGTGGTGTCCCGTTGAGTGAGATCGATAGTGAGATCGATAGTTAGATTGATAGTGAGATCGATGTGGTGTCCCGTGGTGTGCCGTGGTGTCCCGCGGTGTCCCGTGGTGTCCTATGGTGTCCCATTGAGTGAGATCGATAGTGAGATCGATAGTGAGACCGATAGTGAGATCGAGAGGTGTTCCGCGGTGTCCCGTGGTGTCCCGCGGTGGCCCGTGGCGTTCCGTGGTGATCGATAGTGAGATCAATAGTGAGATCGGCAAGTGTCCTGTGGTGTCCCGTGGTGTTCCGTGGTGTCCCGTGGTGTCCCGTGGTGTCCCGTTGAGTGAGATCGATAGTGAGATCGATTGAGTCAGATGTTGGTTTCCCCCCCCTCTCCCCCCCCCCACAACCTCCTTATCACCCGAAGGGTGGTCGTATAGGTAGGGTGGATATGCGTGCGCGGCAGCCTGCGGCACCATCCGGCTTCACTTGGCCTCGCGGACGCAGGCTCGGACAGCCTCGGGGGTGGCGCATGAGTATGTTTGTGCTCCCATAGTGGTCTTCCATACGTTTTAAACGTTGTTGCATTCCGATTTGTTGAACTCCGATATGTTTTGCCGTGGATCTACATCTTTCAGCCCCAAAGAGGGCACGGGCTCACCAACGAGACAACAAACACCCAACTGGCGTGAAGGTCAGATGAGATCCTGCTCGGCCCCACCTCTCAGATCAGCGACACAGGCGATATCCGCTTTTCGAGCTTACGCAGGCGTTTTTCAGAACCCCATCAGGAATCAGGTTTCCAACCGTGGGTGCAATGACGACTGGTGGACCGACTTGATCGTGACACCTTCGACTGTGGGCGGGATATTACTCCAAATCCAAATCCACGGCCTCGTGATCCAGACTCCTCGGCCGCGACCCCGTGGATACAGGGCAGCATTGCGAGGATGCTCCGCGCAGAAGGCATCCGTGGGACCGCGTATCCAAGGGACGGCTCCACGATGGCGAGGTAGGGAGCGGGTATGGAGACGTACGTTTGTCGCTCGTTGGTGGAGACAATCGAAAGCAGAGCAGCTTTTTCCCGTGGCCGCCCTGGATCAAGCTCGCACCGGGAGGGCGCCTGGAAGGCGTGCACGCGCGATCGCATTGGTGCGGCAGCCCGCGCGGTAGGATCCAGGTCCAGGTGGCACCTCTTGGGAGGCTGCACTGCATCGAGCGCTCCGCATCGGAGGCTTTCGGCTGCTCTGGGATGCTTCTGCTGGCTTTGGGGCCCTTGGGCTCACTCCGTGAGCTGCGCCCCTTCGAGGGGCGAGCGGGCGTGCCCGGAGCGTCCCAAACTCTACGGCCGCCCGGGGCCCGAGTTGCGGCCCGAGAGCCGACCAGAAAGCAACCAGCCCAGACCACCTGACTCCTTCTCGTCGTGCAGATCTCATGAGGGTAGGTTGTCGGCAGTTTTCAACTTCCAGAGGCTCCCACTGGGCCCTGGGAGGGGGAGGAGGCGAGAGTAAGAAAGGGGGACGAGGAGGAGGAGGAGGAGGAGGAGGAGGAGGAGGAGGAGGAGGAGGAGGAGGAGGAGGAGGAGGAGGAGGAGGAGAGAGGAGGAGGAGGAGGAGGAGGAGGAGGAGGAGGAGTAGGAGGAGGAGGAGGAGGAGGAGGGAGGAGGAGAGGAGGAGGAGAAGGAGGAGGAGGAGGTCGAAGAGGAGAGGGGCCCGGAAGGACAGCTCCGTCCCACGGGAAGGGGTCGAGCCGCTCGGGGGTCCGCGCGGCAAGCAGAAGCGCGCCGTCGGGGGTCTTGGTTCACATCCGACCTGGCCAGATCTGGCTTAATGTCGCAGGCCTGGCTGGGTAGTCGAAGGCCAGACTGTCAGACTGGACTGGGCCCCAAGGGCCAATCTGGCCTGGCCATATTGGAGGATTTGGGTTATTCGCCAGACTGGATTCGCGTTGGCTCCCTCGCCAGATTGCCCCCGTTTGCCAGATTGGGCCTGCCAGATTGGCGCCAGATTGGCTTCGACTACCCAGCCTGGAGGTTGACACCAGCACCGATATCGGCGGTGTGCCTCCACCGAGGGAAGAAGATCCCGATCTCGGCGATGGTGGTAATATTCCGGCTTCCAAGGTGGCCGAAATACTACCGCCAACACCGAAATCCAGGATCATCTTCCCCCTGTGGAGGCACCCCCTGTGTTGGTGTTGGTGCCCATTTACAGGCCTCCATATATTTTTTGGGGGTCGATCGTGCCCTATCGCGCCTACTGCAGGTTCGCGCCACGCTGGCGCGGCTGGCCACCCCAGCGCGGGCGTTCAAGCTTGCACGCCGCTGGTGGAGTGGCTCGGCATCGGCCGATGTCGAGCGATCCGCGCTATCTTCGGACAGCCACGATCCTGCAAGTGGAGCAGGGGCCGACCGTCCCGTCCTTCCTATGGGTCTACCTCGGAATGCTCTTAGAACAAATCAGGAGGGAAACACACAGACACAATGAATCGTCGATTCCCAGGAAAATATGGGAAAATATGGGAAGTGGGGGGGAAGACAGAAGCCCAGAAAATACGGGACAATATGGGCAATCCTGTTATTTATGTCTATTTATTTGTGTGTCCCAGGGCCCCTTCAACAAAGCATGTTCTTATAACAAAGCAAGGTTCTTACACCGTAAGGCCGATCGATTGAAAGAAGGCAGTCCCAGCCAGAAATGCTCTGAGAACATTCTGTGCAAACCGCGAGGGTCTTCGACAAATGTTTGGTGGGTCTTTAGGCAGGCCAGGACGCTTCGACACTGCTTGGTCAAGGTTCAACGATCCACGCGGTGTCAGGAAAATCAGCGCGCAGGCCGTCACGACCCCGCCTTCTGACGATTCGACCCTGTTTCCCTGGGACTGTTTTTTCGTCCCGAGTCATTTTGTTGGCAGTCCTGGGCTTCAAGACCGGCCTCTGGAGGCAGGACAAGAGCAGACTTTGCCTCCGTCTCGATATCTTCGAGCTCCTCTCCTCCTCCTTCTCCTCCTTTTCCTCCTCCTTCTCCCCCCCCCCCTCCCTCCTCCTCCTCCTCCTCCTCCTCCTCCTCCTCCTCCCTCCTCTCTCCTCCTCCTCCTCCTCCTCCTCATCCTCCTCCTCCTCCTCCTCCTCCTCCTCTCCTCCTCCTCCCTCCTCCTCCTCCTCCTCCTCCTCCTCCTCCTCCTCCCTCCTCCTCCTCCTCCTCCTCCTCCTCCTCCTCCTCCTCCTCCCTCTCCTCCTCCTCCTTGGGGGACCGGGGCAGAGACCTGCTCGCAGGCGTGCCTCCCTGGAGACGCCACCCCCCCGCGAAATGGCGGACGCCGGTGCTGAGGGCGCGGCGGGCCACATCCAGCTGAAGGTGAAGGACCAGCAGGGCAGCGAGGCGCAGGGGCGCCAACAGGGGGGGAGGGGGAGGAGGAGGAGGCGGAGGAGGAGGAGGAGGAGGAGGAGGAGGAGGAGGAGGAGGAGGAGGAGGAGGAGGAGGAGGAGGAGCAGGATGAGGAGGAGGAGGAGGAGGAGGAGGAGGAGGAGGAGGAGGAGGAGGAGGAGGAGGAGGAGGAGGCGGAGGAGAGGAGGAGGATCACGAGAAGGAGGAGAAGGAGGAGGAGGAGGAGGAGGAGGAGGAGGAGGAGGAGGCGGAGGAGGAGGAGGAGGAGGAGGAGGAGGAGGTTTCCGAGGTCCAGAGTCTCGAGCATAGATAAAGGCTCTGATGCTGTCCTGCGTTTGCGACAGGTTTCGGCTCCTGGGACCGTCGGGACACGACTCGAGACGAAGAGGTGGTCCCAGGGAGAGGGTCGACGGGTCCAGGGTCCCGAGTCTCTAAACTGTTGATCCGTCGGAGGTCTGGAGGCGCGGCCCAGGGGAGGAGCCTCGAGCCCCGAGCTCCGAGGAGGGCCGGCCGAGGCGGCGGCTGCCTTCCCCCGGGCGGCTTGCGTGCTCCTTGGGCCTTCCGGGGGGCTGCTCGTCGCCACGAGTGCGTCCGCCTCGGAGAAAGGGCCAGGACGCACCCCTGGAGGGGTCCAAGGGCGGATTTCGAGCGGCCGTGGGGCTGGCGGGGAGAGAGCCGTCGCCGTCCCAAGTGGCCCTCCGACAGTCGCCGTCGATCAGGGCCTGGGTAGCCCCACCTGCACGGGAACGGCGGGGAGGCTCGCCACTTGGGGGCTCATCCATCGCCGATCCATCGGCGATGGCG